GAGGGTTCTGGCTCACTTACCCCTTTTTCTTCGGGGGGAGCTGTAGCATGAGGTTTTTGGCCCATCGAGAGGAGAGCTGTAGCGCGAGCGTGTGGGGCTTACCCCTCCAAGTGGGTGGTTGCCACGGAGGGGGAGTCACGTGCGGGTGAGTGGTCGTGGGTTAGCCATGCTGTTGCACGAGCTGATCCGTGCTCCCCCCTCTTCTACTGTTGGCTGGTTCCCCATACTGAAAAAAATAATTGGTTGGAAATACTGAGCGACAGTTGGTAAAAATGTTACTCAAAACGTTTGTTGCCGTTACTGACACAGACAGTAGCTGTAACTGTCCCTTCTGATAGCTATTACCGCACCTATACAGGTAGTCATGCATACTGCTCTTAATCTGTTGATACTACCGCTTAACTATATATATTACGATATGATTCGGAAAAGTAATGAAATAAATAATGAGTTAATTTAAACAGTGCAGTAATACGGGTATTTAAAACTCTTTGATAGTGATTGGAACAATGGATGATTTTGTTGAACTAAAATTGAAAGAACGGAAATTGGACCAGTTCATCGAACGATTCAAATATAAGTCTAATCTAAAAATTTGATTTTATTTATTATACATAAGTGAGTTAATAATATACACAAGTTTTGATGTTATTGGAGAAGTATTTACCGTTTTAAAAAATGTCTGTTTTATGATGGAGGCAATTTATTGTTTAAATTTCCATGAGCACTTTTTTGTTTATGAAGCTGCAAAAATTGAACGCTGTATATTAAAACACAATAATGAATTGCTAAAAATTTACCCTTACATTTACATTAATGATAACAACTTTTTATACGTTGTAACAAAGTACAAATTGTAATTAAATTGAAATACATACTTATTGTCAAATAATTTTCTACTTTACATATGATGAATAAACAATTTCAGTCTTAGAATCGTTTTTTTTAGAATTGTAAATATTCTACAATTAAAATACTTGCCTGTCCAATGTATATACATTTCAATCAGCATTCCAATCAGCAGCCATTTTTATCATTAAACAAATTCATTCTGAAAACATTCATTTGGTAAAAAAGCCACAAAACTGTCTACTACTTTAACGTACATTGTGCTGCGGTAGCTACTATCAGTCGATCTGTTGCTATAACCGTCAACGATCAGTACCTCTAACGGCCACAGTACTTACTTAATTAAGTCCTTCAAATCTACCGTCTTCAACAGTCGTCCCAACCAATTATTTTTTTCAGTGCAAACTAGGTTTGAGATGGGACCACTTACCTACATGCATGACAATGTACACATGTGTACGCGCATGTATGTGCTCGTGCTAATGCGAGTGATCATCTACGTAGATATCGATGAAAAAAAATGAGTAGGCGTCTAGTTACATTATGCACTTTTCTGCACAGCCCAATAAATGTTATAGTAGAGTACTGTGCTATCTCAAGTTAGACCCGAGGGATGTAAGCAATACTTCTTTCAATAAGACTACTCCTCAAATGACTTTGGCTTGTTTGGCTCGTTAAACTGTATTTACGAATAGTTTGACAGTCTTACAGTTAACAACACACCTAACGTGTACTATAAATGAAACAAAAAAATCAATTCGAATGCGTTTTAGAGAAAGATTTTTAGTTGATGAAATGCTTTCACTCGAGGAAGTAATGGAGCCTCAGACTCCAAAAGACTGTTTTAAACCCACCATTGCAAGTGTGGTTTTTCCGGTAATAAATAAAATTTGTTACAAGTTTTAAATTTTTGACGAGGGCGAGCGTTTCCCTTCTACAAAATTACATCTAATGCAGTAGTTGTGGTGTTAGTTTGGCCAAAATATAATAGATATTATTGTATCCATACAACTGAAATTAGTGAGTTGGAACGATTGTACGTAACTATTTTTAGTGGCACTTACCAATAGTGAAGTTTTAATTCCCTCCAGTCTGTAAGAGTGCCGATGCACATATTGGTGTATTTCAGAGAAGATGGATATGCACCTTTGACGACAATAAATTTACAAGAGTTCTAGTGTACAGTGGGGGAGGATTTCATTTATTAAAAGCATGACGTCATTGATAACAGCAGGTAAAATTTTGTAAAATTCTGAAAAAACTTTTATTTTGTTCAACTTTTGTTCTGTACAGCTTTTGTCCTAATTAATTTTTTCTTGCTGAATTCAGCAATGGATTGCATCAGCAGCACGCAAATAATCTTTTGTAGGACGATGGAAACAAAAGTGATTATCTCATGTTTATACAATGAACTAGCAATTTTTTAAAGTAATAAAAACAGAATTGTGTTACAAAAAGTGTGTTCTTAAATTGTGTTGGTAACTATTTCTTTTATCTTTATTAATCAAGTTGAATATTTTGTATAAGAACATTTTTTATCTGTGATAATTTGTTGTTTGTTAAAAAAAAATACATACATATTTTTTTGACAATAATACGTGTTATTTATGGCTTAATTATTTTAGACACAGTACTTTTCCAATAAATAAGGCAAGCTAATAAATTTACGATTCAAGATTGTTAGAATGACATGTAAATGAATAATATGCAAATGGATTTTAATAATGACAAAAATTTCAATTCGATGAATATATTTGCAGCTTCAACAATACAGAAATTTTTCATAGTCCTAGCAAGGACCAACTATTGATCTTTTTTTTTAAGTATATCATATCCATCTTTGTTCAGATAAGAGCGAATATTTTCGGAATAATAGTTTCCCTTGATTTCTGGTTAAAATGACTTAACGTGCTTTTCTGACAGACGTTTTCAGCTATTTTCATCCTTCTCCTCTTTACTAAGGCTCTCGTAATTTGGTTTGTCAAAGTACGGACCCATGTTTTTTCGATGTTGACTGGTTAATGGTTATAGGATAACTGAAGCTATATGCAAATTTTCATTAGCTTATAAGAAGGCACTAATGTTTTTGTACTACACAATGTCATCGTTTTTGGCATCAACATTATTATCGGTTTTAGAGCCACTATCAGTATTCGCAGTGTTAGGGCCAACAACGACATTCCAACTGGGAAGCATTCTAGAAATTTTTGTTCTTATAACAATTAAGAGTGTCTATAAAACATTCCGTGTCTGGTTCAATGATGCTTTCCACCAAAGAGCACAGAAATAGTTTAATTTGATGAGCTTTACTAAGTGTGCAAAAATTTTTTCTACGTGGACTTTTTTGTGTCTCATGAGTACCACCTATTAACGCCTTTGTTGAATATCCCATACTAAGAATATGACGTGATGGCATCATATACTGCTGAATGTTAATCTTAGCACACTCTATGGTAGATTCCAAATACGCAGCTGTATTATCTTGATAAACGTAAATTGCATGGCGGCGGTACAATCCAATGACTGATTGCTGGTCTCATAAGAGACACAACTGCCACTTCTTTTGGTAAAAACTATCGAGAAGCTTCGAGAAAACCATTAAATCTTTATAATATACCATATGTATAATTCCATTTTTTATTTTTGTAGCTTAAGCACGTCGTACTACCTATGACATAAACGCGTATCCGTTGTGTTTCATGCTGCGTGATAAACTAAGCAGTACTCTGCACTGAAATTCCTTTATATAAGTTCTACTCTGCGCTTGTGTATGTATATGTTTTATAAAAATTAATTGTTAGTTCCTAATCTTTTCATCATAATTTTTAGGGAAAGGTTAATAAGTCAGTTAAGTAAATTATAAAAATAATATAGACTTAATAAATTTATTTCTTATAGTAAAATTTAAGAAATACAGTCTTATTAGGTTTTTATTATACATCATGTTCAGAATCAGTGACATCTTTTTACTCCATAGCAAAATAGAATTTTTTCATTCGTCTGAAATTGTGGTTGGCACACATAGATTTATACGCACCGTTAGAATAAGAGCATGTTGCTTATATTGGGAGTTCAAACCCTGGATAATCAACCAAATCTTTAACTTGAAAATTAAACCTTTTAAGCAACCTTTTTTTCAATTCTTTAATTACAAAAATCTTCTTAGCATCTTTGAAATTTTCTCGTTGTGCATTCCCAACTTCTGTATAGTTAATATTCCCAGATTTCCAATCAAATCTTTGATAGTAAAGTTCAAGCCATAAATTTTTACGTTGATATTTTTGACTCAACTTACGCCAAGAAAATGGTGGCTTAAAAAGTAACTTATATAGTTCAGAGCTCTCACTTAACGAATCAATTGCCAATTCTTTTATCACATAATTGTTGCCAGGCTTTTTAAAGCCTTGCATATCCACAACATACTCCATCACAGACTAGAATAGACTGACTAAAATGACTAATGCTGTTTTATTTTTCTATGAGCAAGTTTAGATAAGTTCTCTCACATACTCGCTCACAGGATTGTACTCGACTATGCGATCATGTAGAATCAAACAATAAGCAGCTATTCCTTGTAGAAAATAATCTTTTGACTCAAATTCCGAACGCACACGAACTGGTGTGCTTTTCAAAGCGTCCTTTTGTTTTGAACAATCAATTACGATTACTCAAATAAAGGTTTATAATTTTTCTTTATCATTATAAAAATAAATGCCACTATTTGCTAAGTTAAAGAGACTGGAGTATTTCTAAGTTTTATTGGTATTTGGTTTCAGTTACTGTAAATTATCTTAAGTTATAGCTTGTGGTAACATTTTGCACCATCATGATTAAAAACTAAACATTACGGGGAGTATTGTATCGCATCCCGTTTTTGTACCGTGTTCTTTAAGTACGTGAGTGAGTGGCACCAAAAAATACGGTTTTTCATCCTACCGGCCATTCTAGGTAGCACACGTCAGCTTTTCTTACGCGTACTTCTACTTAAACACACATAACAATATCCGCTACCTCGCCAGCCAGAAAGCTAATGTTACCCGAGCCAGACATGGTGATAAGCAAAATTATCTGGTGAAATGATGGCAATATCAATATTACAATGATGGCAATATGCACTCCAGTGCATTTCCGATTACTTTTCTCTCTAATTTTCACTGTTTTAACAGTATATCTCTGTCAAGTTCTTCCATTTGTTCTCTGAAGTGTTGTTCTGTAGAGATTAATTTGGAATTGACATATGTAAACATATCTATGTTATTACTATCGATACTTTTTTCTGCTAGAAAGCTCTGCTTCTTGGGGTTGGTCAGTAAGAATATTTTTGGGTGCTCTGTTTTGATAAGCAAGAAAGAGCATGTGTTGACAGTATCCATGTAGTTGAATGCGTACGACACATGGTCTGGCTATAGTGCATACAGTGATTTGAACTCATTCTCTTATTTGAGCACTCTTCTTACGTATTCTGTTAAAAAAAAGTCTGTACGGTCCCATTACTCAATTGATATAACGTTTCAAAGTGCATATCTATAAACGCTGTAAATGCAGCGATCGTCCATGAAGGTTCATGGTGTCACAGATTTGAGTCCTTTTTTATTATTGTGAGATCTATGGTATCGTAATGCTCTTCTAAAGGTATAGTTGCGTAAACCTGTATGAATTTTTTTTTCATATTCCCCGTATGCATCTGTATATGATGTTGCGTTTCCACAGGCACCACCAGTTACAGCCTATGGATCCTGCTAATTGAACGAAACAGGTTTTCGTATTGTTGATAGAAATGTCTTGTATTATGTTCTCATACAGTGTTCTACATCAGTGTAAATGCATCCTATTGCATTCATCTCGTATTATTTCTCTTAGGTATTCTATCTCCCATTTCTTTATTACTGAATAATGCGACCACATGCCGCAATGTTGTATTATTCTCTTAAGCTTGATTTTTTAATGAATAACACGTGTGGAAGCGTAGTCATTTCATTGGATGAGCAGCACGCGTACTCTAGTTGAATTTATAACCAGTTCAAGAATATTGCCTTCACCTATATCGACTAAGATCCAATATTATCGACAATATTATCCAATATCGACATATCCAATGATTGCTATGGCTTGATTGACAATTTTTTAAAAGACTAATAGCCAGGGGATTCTGTTCATCTACAAAAATAGTAACTTTAATTTTTTTTTCGTGATAAATATTATTGACTCATGAATCAGCGTGATCTTTACAGCACATCAAACAAAAGTGACAACGACAATACACACAAGCGTTTAGCAAGCAAAAGAGAGACACTTATCGGCAGATAGTGCATGCGTGTGTAAGTATGTATGCATGGTTATGTTATTTATTATCATTATAGTAATATTTATTTAAATTTATAGAATCTTTGGTTCGTACGGTGATACACTCGAGTTCACTTATGTGTTTAAGATTTTCTTACTTTTATGGTATTGAGTACAATTTTCTTTCATTTGGAATTAAGGAATTTTTATGCAAGTGTTGGCACGTTCTTTCGCTTATCAAGTGGCGCAGTCGCGCCACAGAGGCAAGTTTGAGAAGCTGACGATGACAATGCCGTGGCTACCACGTACACTATTTACTTCTATATTTGTTTAAAATTAAACTCAGTAAGATAGTGGACTGTATAATTTGTATCACACGCCAGACTTGGGTGAGCGTAAAAAGGATGTAAAAAAAAAGGACACAATAATAAATGCACAATACACTTTTAAACACTTTAGCCGTTTATTATAAAAAAAAATCTCTCTATTTAATTTTATTTTAACAAGTCATAATGCTTGCTTACTTGCAAGATAAAAAAAGGAAGAACTAATTTATGAGTCAGACGGAGAAATTACGTGTCAATCAAAAATGCGAATCGCTTTTTGTTACAGAAATCTTACATAAAAACGATACACGTTAAAATTATAAACATAAGCGCAAAGCGACTTACCGAAAAGAGCATTTGAGGCTGACTGGCGATAACCGCAGCAGCAGCAAGCTGCTGGACAGAGGTGAGTATTAACAGAGTCTATTGAGGTATTAATAGACGCGTGCACGATTATGATTGGCCCATATAGGTAAAAAAACATCCTAAAGCGCGAGATTTCAAATCTCATAAACTAAATTTTCTATTTACATCAGTATAATGTTACTGATGTTGCACATAGCCCCAAGGTTGATAGACAGAAGTGTAACTAATGTATATCAATAACAATTCTTAGGAGGACAAAAGGGTGAATCGCATTCCACTTACAAAAATTCTAAATAATAAAAGTTTTTTTTTGTTGAAATAATGACATTCAGCCGGTAACAATCAGTTATACTGATGTTTTACATAGTCCCAAGGTTAATGGACAGGAATGAGACCGAATGTGCATCAAAAGAAATAATATACAACTTAGTGCCGTGTGAATAAAGCAGTGGAATGCTTTCCACGTACAGTAGCAAATAATTCAAAAATAAAAAAAAACATAATAAACAAATTACTGATAATTTTAAACATATTTTGTGACTTTTGGATATGATATTTAATAATCATAATAGTAAATAAAAGGAAAATAAATTGATCTAAATAAGACTTATTATTATTGTGTCCTGACTTAAGTTTAAATACGGTACGCAATATTATTAGTTTGTGTATTGGCCTTACAAAACTAGATGAAACGGTTCTAATCTTGGTGACTCTAATGAGAGACTTGGCATCCTTATAGACTTAAATAACTATGACTAAAGGCCATTTACCAGGTGGGGAAGACTCGTTTTTATGAGCACGAGATCACCAGGCCTAACCAAGCGTTCAGGATTCAACCACTTGCAACGACTTTGTAAAGTGGAAAGCTATTCAAGTGACCACCTTTTCCAGAAGACTTGGAGAGATTGTGTAACTAGCTTACAGCGTTTGAGTGGCGATACCTTTTCAGAAGAAATATCAGGCTCTGGCAGAAGAAATGAAGACCTCATGATCAAAAAAAGGGCAGGAGTAAGAGGATTAAGCTCAAAGGAATTACCATTAAGGTTAGCCAAGGGCCGAGAGTTGAGGCATGCCTCTATTCTACGCAATAAAGTAGAAAATTTAACTACTGTCAAAATCTAATTGCCAACTACACGCTTCAAATAATGTTTAGTGAATCTGACTGCTGATTCCCATAAACCTCCAAAATGTGGAGCAGAAGCAGGAATGAAGTGCCACTGTGTGCCTGATTTACCTAATTCATAGGCAAAATTAGGGTCACGACTACGTTTTATTAACATTCGTTTCAACTCAGTATCAGCACCGATGAAATTCGTGCCATGATCACTGAATAAATCTGTGCACTGGCCCCGTCTAGAAAAAAATCTGTGAAAGGCAGCTATAAAGGCCTCCTTTGTATAATCCTCTACAACTTCAAGATGTACTGCACGAGTTGACATGCAGATAAAAACTGCAATGTAACCCTTGAAAGTTCCTTTACCCTTGTGTTTTGACAAGCGTTTTGAAAAGGGGCTAGCATAATCGATCCTTGATTTTTGAAAAGGAGAACTCTGAGTAACACGAGAACAAGGCAAGTCTCCTATTAACTGAGTTTGTGATTTAGACTCATATCTTTCACAAGTGATGCAACGAGTAAGCTCAGCTCTTACAGTCCGTCTACCACTTACAATCCAGTACGTTTGACGGAGAGTAATAATCGTCAACTGCACTCCACCATGTAAAGTTAATATGTGATAATAGTCAATGAGCATAAAAATCAACTGATCTCTATCTGTTAGTATCAAGGGATGTTTGGCATCATCATCAAATAAGGCTCTACTATATCAACCCCCAATTCTTATAAAACCGCAGTTTATAAACGGCGTAAGATTAAGCAAACAGCTAGATCAAAGTAGTGATAAGCTATCTTCTAAGCTACGATCTTGATTTTGAGTTAGTACCTTAAACTCACCGGAAAAGTGACATTGTTGATTTTGATCAACTATACACAGTCTAGCACAATCAATTTCTGATGTTAAAAGGTGAATCGAGTCAACTTCAATAAAAGAATACAAGTCAATAAACTGCAAACTAGCCTGTAAAGGGGGCTTAAGATTTCCAGCTATAGGTAAATATGAATTCCTTTGTTGAACTTTATGTAAACAACGGTATTTAAAACGGAGGCAAAATGCTATTACTCTTAGCAACCGTTCCCACTTGGAACAATGAGTTAATAGAGTCATATAAAAAAAACTCAGAACTGTTTACAAGACTCTTTACAGATGGCATTGAAGTTTTTACATTTATAGAGGTTGGGGCAATCATTTCTACTCCAAACTCTGGATAGTTAGGGTGAAATTTATGAAGAATCTGAGGGCTCTGAAACCATAATATTTGATTCAGCAATTGGCCTGGAAGAACACCTCTAGAAGCTACATCAGCTGGATTTTGCTGTGACGTGATATAATTCCACTTAGCATATGGAGTCAATTCATGAATTTTAGAACACCTATTAGCTATGAAAACTGGCCATTTGGAAGGAAGTACATTGAGCCAACATAGAACATTCCTAGAATCGAACCACATATGAACTGGTACTTCTTTCAATGAATTTACATCAACGAAATGACTAACTACTGTGGATAAAAATTCTGCAGCACATAGCTCTAGTCTTGGAATTTGGAGCTACTTTCGTTTTTGCTAATTGAAGATGCACAAAAATCTGACCCTCGCGTACGACGCGTAAATAAACAGCCTCTGCATAGGCGTTTTTAGAAGCGTCGGCAAAACCATGAAGTTCGAGAGATTCACAATCTAGTGAAAAATGATTTCATCTAGGTATTCGAATTTCGTTTAATAAAGGTGTTTCGCAAAACCGCTGAACTAACTTATTAAGCTGAGTTTCCTCAACATTAACCATAACTAGTGATTTTAGTAACAAGTTGGATCCTGAACCAAAGGGCATCTGACCCAATCACTACCAACCAATTTGCGAAGCAGAGGCAATTGGGTAGTCAGGGGCTACTTTGCGAACTTTCTGACCGATAATAATTGCATGGACAGATGCATCTAACAAAATATCAATTTTACCTAAACTATAAAATTCTGGATCTGCTAGAATTACATCTTTACTATAATCTAAATTTGCCAAACGACTACCTAGAGGTGGTTCGTAAGAAGAAATTTTTGGCCAGACTAACGCATCAACAAGGTGCTCAAAACCAGACTCAAAATGAGGCCTAAATTTGAAAGCAACTGATTTACTAGCGTCCATGAGAATCAGTCCACCCACTCCTGACACAGTCGTACTAACTGATCTCGGTTTCAAATGCAGCATATCACAGAGAGATTTAGTAATAAGACAACTCTGTGAGCACTGATCAATGAGAACTCGTACCAATATGCGAGATCCATCAGTAGCATACACGAAAACACGAGCAGTAGCTAGAAGCACCTTGGGTGATACTATTTTATTACTACTACATGACTGTACATTCACACGAGACTTTGAAGAAATCTGAGCTTAGTTTTGTACAGTAAAAAAGTTCGTCAAGTTATTTACATACTTTGTTTGCTTACTTTTAGCAGAGACAGATGTAGAGCTGGACTTATCCCCTCTGTGCATAATGGTGTGATGCTTTTGGTTGCAGTGTGAACACTCACTATCAACAGAGCACTCCAGATTAAGGTAAGGACCAAAACAATTAACACAGAGACGATGGAACTTCAGAAATTTCCATTTATCGCTCTAATCCTGTAATTTTAATGAATCACAAGAGACAAGATGATGTTTTTGATTACAGAATTCGCAAACAATGGAATCTGAAACAACTGTCTAATGTACAGTAACACCAGATATAGGCTTACCACTAAAAGATCCCATATTTTTAAAAGGAGTAGCTGCGCGAATACTTACAATCTTATTTACAGATTTACAAGGAAACGATTTCATTGTCATGATTTGTGCCAAAATGAAGTCTCGTAGTTGACCTTAAGAAGTAGGATCACTGCTACTACCTAACATTTTTTGCCAATTCTTGTTTGTTTAAAAATCAAATCTACTAACTACACAGCAATCAATATGTCAGCATCTCCTACTGCTCTCTCTAAGGATATAAAGGAATCAACAGAACTTATCGTCTCCTTGGATATGCGTTTCATTTAAGGGCAAGAACTGCCTCTCATAGCTTGACAACTGAGAATAGTAGTTGTATACGTATTAATGAGACGACGTGTATTATCATAATACCGGGTTATGGTATCCCAAGCCAGTAATTTTTGGTGCCGGCATTATGAGTATAAGACTCGTTCTCCAGCTGTAGTTGTACCCCGCGGTATTATTTATGTATTTAATGAACTATAGCTGCACAATATAGTCCTGACGGCTTACATAAAACAATGCCCCATTAGTACAATATCCTGCAATTAATAATCAAGTTTAATTAATTCCTGAACAAGAGTGTGCACGTTGTAAGTAAATGGCTGTTTTTATTGGCTTATATTAATTTATCTCGCAAACGAGATGAACTTAGGGGTATCAAAATCTTGCACTTATTTTCTGATCCTGTAGATTAATTAAAAATATCAGCTGATACCTGATGAGTAGGATTCCTCAAAGATTTCTTGTTAAATCCTGAATTGTATGTTACGTGCTTGTCAAGATTAAAACAGATGGTTTTAGATGATTATTTTTTTTTTTTTCATAAAGTCTAAAAGATAGTTAATTTAGTGGAAGTGTGGGGAAGCAGCAAAGTTTCAGATAAGTGCCACAAATTCTTAATCTTTTACATATTATATATTGGATACAAGAAATCTGATACTTTGTGTTTTTTTTTTGTATTTGTTTCCAGAATATGACTTTTTTAAAGGAATATCCAATAATACTAAACATTACCAAAGGATGACAGCAATGGGGTATCGGGCAAAAAGCAGCAGGTCAACAAAAGGAACAATCTCTTGGCAGTTAAGTGCTTGTACTCGTCGGATTTAGTGTTTTCACCAAGTTCTCGTTACTAGCCAGGTCAACTGTAAGAAATTCATGCAAAGAGCCTGAGTGTTAATGCCCCAGCAGCTTCCAGTAGCTTTGTCAGCAAAAATCGTGTAAAAGTCTGTATCTGGGTAATCTAGTGTATTACTCTGTTTTTTTTGTTGCTTTTTTCACAATAACAGCATGCTTTTGTACTCCTGACATTTTATTCATGAAAATGCACGTATCATTGGCAGAATTTTAATAAAAATAGCCTGTTACCGTTGTGAATACTTAACTTCTAAACTTGTGTGTGCGTTTTATGTAGTGCAGGGCTGAGGAAGAAATATCAATGGCATTCGAAAAGGACCCCATGGCTTAGGAAAGCCAACGATAATTGGTGTATGAGTACTGAAGTATTTGAAGATCATCACTAATTTAAAGAAGTACCCAGCACGATACACTGTCACATTAAAAATTAGATCTTTGCAGGGAGTGTTGACAGAAGCTATAGCCAAGGTAGGTATAATATTTTATAGGCACGTTGAAAAATAGTTCCAAAGCGCTCAATTTATTTGCAATGTCGAGACAACAATGCACAGTGGTTTTCGTAGGCTGCAAACAGATTATCTTAAAATTACCCACAACCTCACAAATCACCGTATTAGCCTGTTTTGGGCATTCACTTGTGCATACTCATCTGCACCGTTGAATGCCCAAAACTGGCTTATACGGTAAATTGTAAGGTTGTGGATGATCCTTAGTTATTGTACTGGCAGCTTACAAAACACATTGCGCTTCATTGTCTTGATAAAACAAGTTTATTTAGTGCTCTGAAACTCCTTTTCAACGTGCCCATGAAATAATTATATCCATATTAGCTGCAGTTGCTGTGATCGCTTACTGTAAAGATCTTATTTTGGTTGGTATGATAGCAGGACTCACAGGGCTGGCATTTCAAAGGACGGAATTAAAAATGTGTTTCTCTTTAAAATTTATCTTTTCAAAATTGGGTAATCTTATTTTTATACTTTTACAATTAGTATACCTGTGGAACTATTACTCTGAAAGTAATAAATTGTGACAGTTATGAATTTCTATGTTGAAAAAGGTGTAAAATTAATTATCAATTTGCTCGAACACTTGTTTGAACATAGGTAGAGCTGGGCGGAGGAGGGATATGGGATGGCATACGACAAGTGTCCATTGATTTACGAATGCCAACTACTGTTGTCTTCGAAAACTTACTCCACTTTACAAGCAATTTTATGAACACTGCAAAGTCCTCAGCACATGAAACCAGGATGAAAATTAATAATGAAGAGTGGACATTCTACCCTTGGGTTAATGCTATTTTTTAATTATCATTAATTCCGTACAATGTATTTCTTGCGCTTTTACGACTCTCATTTTGTAATCTATTGTATATTTTAATAACATGCATTATGGTATCGTAACATACATATGATAGTTTGATAGATACCAATAATCGGAATGAAAATGTTGTTGTAGTAAAAATTAAATCTATGGTATGGTAACAACAATTTAAAAACTAATGACTTGAGCTCTAGTAAAATAATTTAAATTCATATTTTTGGTTTAATTTCATCAAAGTCACTGATTAGATATTGTTCTTCCTTTGCAAACTTATCTTTTTTCTGAATCCAAAAGCCAGGTTACTCTTCAAACGAGTATAGTACTCTTTCAGAACGTTATAGGATTTGGTCACAAATTTTTCTAAAAACACATAAATAGTTGCTTCTAGCGTAGTTCTGAAAATATTGCTTTCCACGTTTCCGATGAACATAAGAATGCGAAATTGAATAACTCGTTGTTTTTACATAAACTTACTTGTGATTACATTGGGGCCGAAGCATTCAGCAAAACTGGGTGAGTTGCACTGATAGACAACGCTTTCCCATACTCTGTTCACCATATCTTCCATCATATTATCTCTAAATCCAACACAAAAGATTTGTTGAATCTCAGCTATCTCTTTTTGAACAAAAACTGGAATGTCATTTCGGACGTTTAATATTTGTTGTTCGTTTGGACCGTGCCGGGCTAACTTTATCTCGTAATATTCCACCTTTAACGTGAAATTACAGGATCCCGTGTATCTACTTGTTATTTTTACTAGTGTCTTACTACAAAGGTGTTATTTAAAACGTCTTTCTTTTAAAGCTTTTTAATATTCTTAAATAGATTTACGGTCTTAGTTAATTAGATTCGAAATGTCGTACTTGTCACTCCAATATAGAAATTACGACATGAAGTATTGTAAGGTGGTGAATTATATGATGCAATTGCTATAGTCACTTTAACAATAGCATATGTTTCACCGTTGCAGATGATCTTGTTGGAACCTGCTCTTTACAAGTAGACTGCAAATGTAATACTTAAAATGACAGTGCATGGGCCGACTGTTTCGTTGCACAGTAGTAAAAGATTCGTGTGAAGAAGATAACAGTAGTCACTGATTGTTGATTTTTGTTATACTGTTTACATAAAAAAATATTATCATGGCATTCAGACCAACAGAAGTCAACTTGGCTCAAATGAGAACATTGTGAAAAAGAGATGTAGGTCTGCCGGAAATTTGTGAACAATTCGATTGTTGTCTTAAAACGGCCTTGAAATGGTCAATGTGTTTCGAAATGGAAGCGGAAATTAAAGAATTCCAGGCGCAAAATGAAAGACACTGTAACTTAATTAACAGATAAACAGAAAAACTATTTTTTTTAAATTGCATTTCACATCAATTATTTACCTTACTAATACATCCACAATTAATTCACAGTTAACAGATCACGTTGCAAACTAACTGATGACGATATTGCGAGAGTCATGGAGGAGATAACTCGTCATCCTTTCGAGACACTGAAAAATCTACTGGAGACATTGAAACTAGACGTACGTTATAGAACTTTAAGAAGGGAAGTGTCAAAAAGTACTGAACTTATATGTTTCAAAGCTGCAAAAAAAACGTCTCTACTAGAAAGGCACAAGGCAGCCAGATTGCATTTTGCTCACAATCATCTGCAGCTCACTCAAAAAAAATGGAGAAACACGGTATTCGTCGACGAGAAGGTTATTTCCACTGACAAGAATGGACAATGCACTGTGTGGCGACCACAACATTCCCGATACTTGGAAGATTATGTGATTCCACAGTCACACAGTGGTCGTGTTGATGAGGCATATTGGGGATGGTGCCCTGGCCATAGTGATGGTGATATCGTGGTATCCGATTATTAGTATCTATCAAACTATCATATGTATGTTACGATACCATAATGCATGTTGTTAAAATATATAATAGATAACAAAATGAAAGTAGTGAGTGCACAAGGAATATATTGTACGAAATTAATGATAATTAATAAATAGCATTCACCCAAGGGTAGAATGTTCACTCTTCATTATTAATTTTCATCCTGGTTTCTTAGGCTGAGGACTTTGCAGTGTTCATAAAATCGCTTGTAAAGTGGAGTAAGGTTTCGAAAACAACAGTAGTTGGCATTCGTTAATTAATGGACACTTATCGTATTCCATCCCACATCTCTCCTCCGCCTAGCTCTACCTATGTTTAAACAAGTGTTCGAGCAAATTGATAATTAATTTTACACCTTTTCAACATGGAAATTCATAACTGTCACAATTTATTACTTTCAAAATAATATTTTCACAGGTATACAAATTGTGAATGTATTGAAATAAGATAACCCAATTTTGAAAAGATGAATTTTAAAGAGAAACACATTTTTAATTCCTTTCTTTAAAATCCCAGCCCTGTGAGTCCTGCTATCATACCAACCAAAATAAGATCTTTACAGTAAGCGATCACAGCAACTGCAGCCAATATGGATATAATTATTTTATGAGCACGTTGAAAAGAAGTTTCAGAGCACTAAATAAACTTGTCATATCAAGACAATAAAGCGCAATGTGTTTTGTAAGCTGCCAGTACAATTACTTAGGATCATCCACAACCTTACAATTCACCGTATGAGCCAGTTTTGGTTATTCAACGGTGCAGATGAGTATGCACAAGTGAATGCCAAAAACAGGCTTATACGGTGATTTGTGAGGTTGTGTGTAATTTAAAGATAATCTGTTTGCAGCTTACGAAAACCATTGTGCATTGTTGTCTCGACATTGCAAGTTGATTGAGCGCTTTGGAACTATTTTTCAACGTGCCTTTAAAATATTATACCTACCTTGGCTGTAGCTTCTGTCAACACTCCCTGCAAAGATCTCATTTTGAGTGTGACAGTGTATTGTGTACTCCTTTGAAATAGTGATGATCTGCAAATACTTCAGTGCTCATACACCAATCATCGTTGGCTTTCCTAAGCAGCGTGGTCCTTTACGAATGCCATTGATATTTCTTCCTTAGCCTTGCACTACCTGAAACGCACACACAAGTTTAGAAGTTAAGTGTTCACAACGGTAACAGGCTATTTTTTTTAAAATTCTGCCAATGATACGTGCATTTTCATGAATAAAATGTCAGGAGTACAAAAGCATGCTGTTATTGTGAAAAAAGCAACAAAAAAAACAGAGTAATACACTAGCTTACCCAGATACAGACTTTTACACGATTTTTGCTGACAAAGCTACTGGAAGCTACTGGGGCATTAACACTCAGGCCCGTTGCATGAATTTCTTACCGTTGACCTAACTAGTAAAGAGAACTTGGTGGAAACACCAAATCCGACGAGTACAAGCACTTAACTGCCAGGAGATTGTTCCTTTTGTTGACCTGCTGCTTGTTGCCCGATACCCCATTGCTGTCATGCTTTGGTAATGTTTAGTATTATTGGATATTCCTTTAAAAAAGTCATATTCTACAAACAAATACAAAAAAAAGATACAAAGTATTAGATTTCTTGTATCCAATATATATTATGTAAAAGATTAAGAATTTGTGGCACTTATCTGAAACTTTGCTGCTTCCTAACACTTCCACTAAATTAACTGTCTTTTAGACTTTATGAAAAAAAAAAATAATCATCGAAAACCATCTGTTTTAATCTTGACAAGCACGTCACATACAATTCAGGATTTAACAAGGAATCTTTGGGGAATCCTGCTCATCAGGTATCAGCTGATATTTTTAATCAATCTACAGGATCAGAAAATAAGTGCAAGATTTTGATACCCCTAAGTTCATCTCGTTTGCAAGATGAATTAATATAAACAAATAAAAACAGCCATTTACTTACAACGTGCACACTCTTGTTCAGGAGTTAATTAAACTTGATTATTAATTGCAGGTTATTGTACTAATGTAGCATTGTTTTATGTAAGCCGTCAGGACTCTATCGTGCAGCTATAGTTTATTAATTACATAAATAATACCGCAGGGTACAACTACAGCTGGAGAACGAGTCTTATACTCATAATGCCGGCACCAAAAATCACACTATTACGTGTCTCGACGGCATAGCAGAAGATACGCTCAAAAACGTTAACAAGTCCTGTCAGGCTCTCCTTTCGCTTTCCTTTCTTTACTTATAGGGAAGAAGTCTGGGTGCTATGCATATCTGTCGACATCTATGATTGCATGCAGAAAATAATATTCAACGTTGCCATTTAGGGCAAGTGCCGAGAAAGAATCACTGTGACGTCACTCGGGTGTACAAAGTTTTTTTCATTCTATGACTATTAGAAGAATTCCGTTGCAGGATTATGAAACAAATACTGTCAAATTATTATTTCAACAATATATAAATAAAACTAATGTCAACATACGACTATTGAGAGAGTTTGCTGGAGAAGAATACACAACAAGTAAGCAGCAAGATACCGCTGAGTTCTTATTAAGTCTATGTAATACATCACTTATATTGAAAAATGTTTTGAAAAACGAATTAATTGTAACAATTAGGTGTCCTGGTTACGACGAACGACACCATATTAAAACATCTAATAATATTGTTCTACATCTAACAATATAATCTTTCTTTGGCAGAGGATTCTTGAATCTGTACACTTCAAGAACTTATAGATTACAATATTAGAAATCGGCAAGAAATTAAAAGTTATTGTCATAATTGATGTCGCTTAAAAAAATTAAAAAAACTAGATTTAACAATCAGTAATACTGTAGTAATTTTACAATTAATGTTATATGAAAAAACTGATAAAGGTTTTCTTAAAATGATGAACTCCATAATAAATGAGATACCGACAAGTAAAGTACATATGAATATTAAAAAGTATCAGGTTTTAAATGGAATATTTCACCACAGTACTACATCACAAGGTCGTTACACAAATATGATGCGACAAAAAAACCAGTGGTTTCATATCAATCATAATAATGTTGTCAAAAAACAATGACCAACAGGTGCTAAAGATCTTTGTATATTATTTTTAGAACAAATTAAAAATACTTTAATAAGTTAAATAAAAAAAAAAAAATTAAAAAAAAGAACAAAGAAAACAATTTACGTCAACAAAATCTGTACAATGATACGTGCATTTTCATGAATAAAATGTCAGGAGTACAAAAGCATGCTGTTATTGTGAAAAAAGCAACAAAAAAAACAGAGTAATACACTAGATTACCCAGATACAGACTTTTACACGATTTTTGCTGACAAAGCTACTGGAAGCTGCTGGGGCATTAACACTCAGGCTCTTTGCATGAATTNGACACGAAGGTAAAATGTATGCGTGTGAACGCATGTGTGTCCATGAGTGGGGGAGTTTAATTACATATTTTAATTAAGATATTCATTTTAGTGATAAATAACTTCATGTTTATAATAACTCTTTGATGTGGCAACAAAATTAACTATTTTTTGTTGATCTTATTACCTTTTGAACATTTTATTTCGCCAAATATTTTTAAATAAGTAGCATTAGAAACATTTTAACTAAAACTCTTGGAGATATTGTAGTCTTTGCTATGAAAATAACTTTTGTTTCACTGTATAA